AACAGAAAAGGTCAGAACTAATCAACAGGAAAGGTGTAGTGTTTCACCAAGACAACGCGAGACCTCACACAAGTTTGGTCACTCGCCAAAAGCTTTTACAGCTTGAATGGGATACAATGCTACACCCACCATATTCTCCAGACCTGGCACCATCGGATTATTATTTGTTCCGGTCACTCCAAAATTTTTTAGACGGTAAAACCTTCACCTCAAATGAGGAGGTCAATAACCTCCTCGATCAGTTTTTTGCCAGCAAAGGCCAAAAATTTTATGAGCGTGGAATTATGCTACTACCAGAAAGATGGCAAAAGGTGTTGGACCAGAACGGTCAATATATAATTTAATAAAGTATTTGTTTATTATACGAAAACTGTCTTTCATTTCTACAAAAAAAAACGAAATGACTTTCCGAACAATCTTATATTAAAGCGATATTTACAATTTATTCCACTATATCGTTGCTTCGTAAGCGAAAATAATAAAAATTACAATTTGGACCCGAATTTCTAAAAATAAAATCCCAGCAGAAATCAATCTATACTTTTGCTAATTGGTAGATACTTACAAACAATTCGGTTGTCTAAACATTTAGGAATATAACTTGCATACTTTCTGTCTGTTTTAATGGCTACAAAAGTTTCCAAATATTTTAAGGTTGTCAGGTGAAATTTATGTCAGTATCTCGTACATTTTTAGGAGAAGCCATAAAATTTTATTATTAATTAAAGGGCAAAGAGAGAATTGGCAGCAAGTTTATAGTCCAATGTCCCGAGACATGAAACTTTAATACTGAATAAAACTTTAGACAAAGTACTTACAGTTTTTTAACTTGCAGAAGGGTATCTACCCTTATTGGATTTTAAGAGACTTCTCTTTCTGGTTACTTGCGTAGCTATATTATAAATACTTATTAATTTTTTAGTAGGCTACTACCTTGCCGTACCGTCTGATTCTTTGGTTGCGATACAATGGCAGGTTTCAGTTATTATTACCATTCGTAGCCGTTATCATTTTTGACCTTTATTAATAACCACATCCTTCCAAAGAAATATGATTTGATTAGTCATCGTCGAGCCGAAATTACCGAAACGAAAGAATATCAAATTTAAGCAGTTTTTTGACAATTTAATCCTAAAAAAGTATTAAGGAAGTTGAGTCGTACATATGTCCAGACTAGATGATGATGATGGTGTTTTGTATTGACTTGGATACACACCAATCCATTCCAGAGACTAAACATTCATTCGGCAAAATAATGATGACAATTTTGATATAGTTATGGTTACTTCATCCCTTATCAAAAGGGACTACATGCTGGACATGTCTCGTATAATAATAATCAACGTTCAAAATACTGGAGCGTATTGTGGAGGTCGTTGGGAAGAAGTTCTGGCGAAGTATTTGTATTTTGTGTGGTGAAAGAGCAATGAAGTGGTATATCAGATAAATTACACTTCAGACTTAAAGTAAAAGTGAAAAAAGAAATGTACGAGATGTAATAGCGAGTGTATTCACAAATCAAAAGCATTAAAAGGTTGACAGCTGCACTTAACGCAAAATTAACAAGTAAAAAGGCTGGCATGAGATGGGTATTGTATTTGAAATGCACTTCTAAATCCTAACGGTTCTTTACGTCGCTGGCACAACCGCCTCTTTAACTTTACCGTTTAGTTGTTGGCGTTACTCTTTCTATCTCTCACTCTCTTTTTCGCCAGACGATAGGGAAGCGTCGCAAAAAAATCCGCCAGATCCCAGGACGTTTTAGGGATGATAACCGTTTCGTAGACAGTGGTAGTCCGTTCGTCCTTATCGCATAATGAAGAAGTGCTTCTCGAGGTTTTACGCTCTTTATACCTAACGCCATAAAAATGTACTCTCTTTGCTCAGATCTGAAATATCCGTCGAATTAAATGCTTGTGCATTCCCGATTCAGCGGGCCGGAAATTCCATATGCACATTTCATCGTCTCAGTCTTCGGTGTGCAATTAACGACGGTTTTTAATTGTTGCCGCGCGTACTTCGGGGTGAAAACGCTTCACAGGGTAAACGCTGTTGGATGAAACTCCGCATAAAGTACTTTTTATTAAAGCCAACGCTACCAAATTCCATTCCGCCTTTTCAGCTGGCCGAATATAACTTACAAATATTCAAAAAAGAAAAATCTTATCGGAAAATCGTTTGATACACACGCATATAATACTTTTCATGCATGAATATTAGTTCGTAATTCCAAAAACAAAACGAAAGAAATCATTAGAGAATATCGTTGCAAAAAAATGCTCCCACTAACAAAGACTTATTATTCTCCACAGTACGAACGTTCTGCATCGTTTTTAGATAACAATTGCCATCATTTTACCAACACTAATTAATGCCCTTTTTTTGTTTCCGATAGAAAAATTGAAATTTGTTTCCTGATAGTAATTTATATTTTACAACTAGATTACCCGATATATGTTAAATCACTTGGGAAAAAGAAAAGGATCACATTCATCCATTCCAACCTGTTTCTTTTTTTGTAACGATAAAAAATCACATTTACTTTTAATTAACTTCATCCGATCAAAAGAACCACGAAAGATATGTCCCGCAGTTATCGACATTAGCCCACCACTGTTCATACTTCACACAATATAAATGACACTAAATTGGTAATAAATCACTACCGGGTTTTGCCGTCTACAAATAATTAAGTGATCCTTTGAAACCGAAATCGATTTACAACTTTTATTGAAACGAAAAAGTTCGGGTAATCGTTATTGTTATAAAAAGGAGCGTATTTTTCTCTATATATTGTTCCTTATGATAAATAGACTTTTTTTTTTTTTTCGAAAATATAAGCGGTAATGTTTTCCTAAAAAATGATAAATATTCAGCAACAATTATACCTAACGAAATTCCCAAAACTTCGTAATGAATATTAGCAACTAAAACTTTGAGAAACAACAACATCTTTACCAATAAACTCTACAAAAGGTTCCAGTTGTTTTGTTAGCTTCCTTGCCCTCGTTCGCAAAAAAAAAAAATGTGAAAAGGAAGAGGGGAAAGTGGTAGGGAAAAGGGAAGCTGCCGCCTGCTAAAGCATACTTTTATTAGGCTATCAATAAATTACGGCAACAGGCGGCTCCGACTGAGATCGGCCTATTGCTCATATCTGAACTCAAGTACCATGTCGACTTGACGGCAGAATGAAATTTGCCAAAACAGTACTACCACCTATTTACTGCTTATGAACGAACAAAACACTGAAGGATCGCAATTCAACTTATATAGGTACGTCTTTGTATTTACGAAAAATGGATTTTCAATAACTACCCATCTCAAATCTCATAGGGTAAAAGCCGGATGGTTGCCTCAGTGGGGCACATGGCCCGGTTTTTAATACAGTATGTCAGGGATGTTAGTGGCATAAGCCCTTTACTAAAATTAGAAGTGCCCCTCCCGTACGACCCAGCGCCCAGAGTAGGCGCATGCATTTGGTCCATATTAAAAACAATCTTTCGGGGATAAGCTTTATATTAATATAAATTTGTTTCTATTTGAAAAAATCATACGAGGCGTCTCTCCCCGCACGAAGTAAGTATCCCGCAGACCAATTTTGTACTTTAGGCTACTATCCGCTACAGTAGAAAACTGTTCCTAGTTTGAGAGATCAAACAAAACAGAATTTACCCCAAAACCAATATTAATTATAATAATTTACACAAACAGGCCATTATAAAAGATCATAGCCCTTGTTTTGATATACATGTTGCATTGTTCTTTGTAAGTACATATTTTTTAATAATAGAGCTTTTTTGAAAAGTGGTGCAACTATCCGGCTTCTACCCTACTTGCATCCCTTTATAAAAGTCTAAGGGATGAAACTATAAACTTTATGTATATGTAGGTGCACTTAACTTAATTTCACGAATTTGTATATCGTTAGAAGAAATTAGTAAGAAAATATAATCAGTTTCTCGTCCAATATTTTGTTAATTTGTAGAAACCTTAGCAAGTGGAAAGTTTCATTTTATAGCTATCGAGGTCGAACCAGAGCACGAAAAGGGAATGATTTCGGGAGTAAATTTTAACCGTTTCCATGAAATATAGCCTTTACAGTTACAGAGTAATTTTCAGTGTTCAGAAGCCAGAGGAAGTATAAAAATCGTTAGGTTGTACGGTTCTTTTAAAAGCCATATAGTCGAAAGCACATTACTGTAATATTTTCACAAAACGAACGGAAAGCATTGATCTCCATACCCGATTCGCTTGTCAAATGTCAAGCCAAATGTTAAATTAACACCATCGAAAAAAAAATGTATTAGAGTAGCCCTAACGTTACCATACATATATATATATATATATTGAAAAATGTTGTTGTAGTAATTGTGGATGTAAAGGTACCTGAAAGTTAATAATTTCAAATCCATCACATGCAGTCTTAAATAACTTGTATAATCACTTCCCTGATATCCGGATGCGTCAGTTACAGATACTAAACTATGCAACGCATTTCATTGTGTACTTTTACACGAACATATAACCCAATAAAATATGCTACTACCCCCATATCAAAGTTCGGAGTTATTAACTTTTTTTTTATTGCAGTCTAAGCAAAAGTCTTGCGAAAAATTTTGCGTCGGGATCGCTGCAGAACTTTTACTGAACGTTCGGGGACTTCAGCGTGCCTTTTGTTGGTGCCTTTACAAGACCTATTCAAAATAGCTCAGTTTGATTTCAATTAATCTAAAGTTTATTGTACGACTTTATCCTGGAAACGGAAATTTTAAGGAACAGTAAAAAAAAAGCGATCCTTAAACGAATATCATTTGGTACGATGGACTTCCTATTCTTTTTTCTTGCGTTTCGTCTCATAAAATGCGTTATTAGTCGTTGTTGCGGAAGTTTGATGGCATTAAAAAGTATTTCGACTGAAAAACGTGCGTGTGCTAATCGTAAATAATACACGCTAAAGTTCGGACGAAAACAGAACGTAAAAAAGGTGGACAAGCACTTACCAGATAAACGTTTGCGCGACAAGAAGGTGAGGTTCATTTTAAGTAAAAGTGAGTAAGCGGCATGATTGAGGAAAATGTAAGAATTCACGTAAGCGCGTACGTGATTTAATAAGCACCCACTTCTCACAACCGCCACGAAATGAATGTGTTACGACGCTAGACGTCGCCGTCGGTTATAGCCCACAGTTAGGACGCGTGCTAAAAGCACCAAGCGTGCGCCATCCTGTTCCTCCAACCCGCCTCCTGTTGCTTGTACTATGCCCCGCAAGGAAATTCTCCGATTGCAAATACAGACAACGAACGCACCGAAACCGCCCTGTGAAAGTTGGATATTTGCTCTTTGGTACTTCTAAAGGGCGACGTTTCGATATTTCGGCAGTGGCGGTTTAAACATCAACAATCCGAAGGGTGTGTTGGAAAAAGAGGATCCACGTAGCCCATGGTAAAGCTAACAGTAACTCTCTACAGCTTTGTGGTCTGTAGCTAAACTTTATCTGCGTATTTAACGTCCCATGTCGAACGTACAACACATAACCCTGACGTGCACATTTCGTGCTCCACGATCCAATTCCAGGAAGCCCTTGCTTCAAAGGACTTTCATTCCGCTATTTTACTAAATAGACTAATTAAAATGATAAACACAAGAGGATTCGTACACTAAAAGACTTCACAACCCACATAATACCTCATTACGAAAAATATCTATCACAACACAGACGTTAGTCAGTCATCACGCAACACCCACAATTATGAGAAATACCAGTTCCATCGTGTGAACAAGAAGAATAACAATGTCCTTCGGAATCGTTCGGAAATTATCTCTCCCTGCTTTTGTTATCGCATCCTTGCCAGAAGGATCTGGGAAAAGACTCTGTTCTTTCCAAATTTCTTTCTGGTTGATCTCTGTCTAGTTGGTTGAAGAGCAGCTTTCCGAATTATTTGACGCTGGCTAGTTTTTTGTAACGATAAAGAAACCAAGTCCATCTCTTTTATCTGTTCCTGGTCCAACCCTCCTAGAAGGGTAAGAATGATGGACTAGGTAATATCAAAGAAATAAAGCGTTTAGACTATTATTTCAGATTATACGTATTTAATTATGGTTCTTACCCTAAATAAATTTAATTTGAGGGCAAAATTAGGTGATAAAAAAATTATCCGAAAATAATTATTTTCCTTATCACTTCAGATCCTAAAGTTTAGATTAGTTTTCAGCACATTTGTTATGATAGCAGTGTGTGAAATATTTGATTTATGGAAATGTATTTTTGAAATTGATCGTCAAAAAAACATAAATAAGGGTTAGAATCCAACTGCTGAACCGTCACTTTGAGAAACTAATATCATACATTTAAAAAACAGGTCAAATTTAAATTTACGACGCGCGCTGTCACGAAGTTTTCCTTTAAAAAAGCTACAACTTTTCGAAATCAAATTTAACTTGAGATTACCCAAGAATGATTACAAAATTATCATAAATTTTGATAACAACTTATTTAACGACAATTATATAACAGCTAAACTTGATTCGAATGTTACGGTTGGTCCAACTTATTAGTCGTTAAAATATTAAAGCCTTCTTAAAACAGGGTAGCTGCCAACAGAAAAAGACCTTAAGGTAAAACTTTTGAAACTTTCTTGTAGGTTAAATTTGTCCGAAGTTAAAGAAAAGTAAATGGGACATCATTGGCGAGACTGCTTAATAAAAAGTTGGAAGTTCCAGAAGCGTTTTTACTTTGACGTTCACAAAATTAAGTTAAAAATTTTCACTGCAAGTCGTTTCAGGCATTTCTCCGCAAGATTAAGTAGATACACTATTTCTCTCCGCGGACAGTTCGAAAAGTCACTTTGCTCCTCGTTTCATATCAAAATGATCCAGGCTCAACAAACATTACCATTTTGGATTCTAAAAATCAACCGCAGCGATAATCAAAACCTGCAGAACTGTTACCACCATAAATTATTGTATCCACCCTTAACTTAATTCGTATAAATACATATGAATACATACGGATTAAATTTTAAGGTCCGTGATTTACACAGCCTAAAGTTTACTTAGTACCTTTTTGGATATTTGAAAGGTTGCCTCCACACGGAAAATAAAGCGATATTAAAATCAAATTAAATTTTCATCCAAGTGTGTAGACACACATTATCTGTACGTTCTTATTCAAAGGGGCGAGCAGCTTGATAAATCCAATTCGAATCATTCGAGTCAATAAATCTGCAAGCATTCTCTCAACAAGAAATTTTTGAGAGATCGAAATTCAACGCGGCGGACCATGTAAGCATATGAATGTATGCATACACAACGGCCTGACTGATCTTGCGCTATTCTACACCCACACGCAAATCATTATCACTGACTTTCGCTTGGTGGCACCAATATTTTCTAAATTCTTTCAATCAATAACCGCACTTCATAAATTCATATCAAAACAATCCATGTACCTACTATAAACAATTAAAAAAAAAAGTTTTTGGTCACACAAGTCAAAATTACAATTGCACGAATAAATAGCATCCGGAATTTTTTAATTTAAAATATAATTTACTTTTGTGATAATTCCGTATATAACCTAAATATTTATTAATTTTTGAATATCAATAAACTATTTCCATGAAAATAGAATCCACATAAGTTAATTAAATTAAAAAAAAAAAATTGAAAGTGTCGATCGATCAGGACTAATGAAACATTTTAACGCTATGTCTTGTCTTCGTTAACACTTGACACTTCCTTTACGAACTGTTCCAATAAAAGCTTCAAGTTTAAGAAGGCCATTTATCTGTAATTACTTTTCCACTTTTTAAACACAAACAGGCATTAATACACTGACAAGGTTCTCGGAACCATCACCCTTTTCATTGGGCACCTGATTAACAAATCCTCAGCTTTATCAAATCTGCTTGGTCTAATTTTTGAACTTAGCACAAAATTAGCCTCTAAGAAACTTCTAGTTGTTTTTATTTTCAAATATGACCAACCTGTAGTACTTGTTTTAACGTCTAATCAATAAATTCAGCAATACAACATCAGTCGTTAGAGTAGGTCAGTATGTCACTGTAGAGAAGTTGTTACAATCATGAGACACGATACTTATTTACAGGGCTCAACCCCTATAATTCGCCACTGTAAAAGTCGAAATCCTAGATTTTATACATAGAAGACAACCCCAAAATAGTATACGAGAAACAGCACGGAACATTGGCTCGTCTCATGTGACAGTGTGGCAAATTTTAACGGAGCAGTTGCTGCATCCTTATCATCTGCAGCGAGAGCAAGCTTTCCAGGAAACTGGTTTTCAGCCGCGAGTGGATTTGCGTCATTGGTTTCGACAGAAAAGTGCTGCAGAGTTCAACGTTTTCCATGGCGTGTTGTTTACGACAAATGTTACTTTTCCTAACAGCCACTATCTTTGACAGTGTTCATAAAACTTACATGTTGGGGTACAGCATATTATCAGCGTCAAAAAAAATGTTGTAGTTAATTCAGTTTTGTACTAATGGGCGTTTAAATAGTATGTCGTGTAGTAGTTGTTGATGTTTAAATTCTCCATCGATGCAGCTGCTGAAGTTGTATCACCTACATTTCCAATTCACGCCCAGGACCGGCTTTGAATTGTGCAATTCCTTATTGCATCTACTTGACATTCTCCAAGACAATGTAGTCATATTTAAATTTCTTAAAATATTAACTCATGTTTATTCGAAATGCAGAAAAAAGTTGATTTGCCTTCCTCAAAAAATTGCTTGTTACGCGTCTGGCATATCAAAAGGTTCCGTAATTGTTAGGCTTAGAAGAGGTATTGAAATAAATCACGTACAGTTCACCCCGAAGCTAAATTTTATAAAGCAATAAATTAAAGCCGGGCATAAATTAAATCTGTATCGAATTACTAATTTCAGTTCGCGTAAAACCCTATGCAGAGGGTCAATTTCAATTTCACATTCAGATAATTTCGGAACTAATCGATACTGTGAAGTTTTTGTTTACGAGTCAGCTTAGGGAAAAAGAGATTTTTATTTAATTTTTATGCCAAAGGAATTCTTGTTGTTCAAAGGTTACTTGCAGTTTGAAAATTTTCTTTAAATCCTTGTGAAAAGTTAAGGAATTATTGTTTTTTGTTTATTTCGCCTTAAGAAAATCTAGGAAAATATAACGAAATTTAAATAAAGAAAACTAGAGAATAAATCCATCTGGCAATGCTGATTTCATTCAGTAACAAGCGATAAGGAACTTCTTTCCAAAATTGTCTATGTCTTTTTTGCGATGGTACGTTGCCATATTCGGTGGCATGTAATGTAAACTGAATCTCCTCAACAAATATTGACTGCCAAAAGTACGTACAAGTTAATATGCATAGGTAAATCTTGGTCAGCATATCGATGCTGGCCATGGCTTTACCAACGTCATCAATCATCCAAGAACATCCTCTACTATGCCAACCACTTGTCATGTGGAACTAACGCTGGTAATGACATCAACTGGCTTAATTAGAGCAATTCTTGCTTCGTTCACAAATAAAAGAAATCCATACCTACTCTCAATCTCTCAGGTATTCTCAGTTCTCTCTCTCTCATCTTTCTATTAATCAGCATATGCAAGTGTTAATTAACCTAGATTAAAAACAAATTTTAATTGAAAAATATCCGAGTTTAATTCAACCCTCTCGGTTAATTTACAATTTAAGAATCAAAACCACAACGTATGAAAGATAAAAAAGATTAGCTCGTACTTTTTCTTCTTTTATCGATTGTGGAATAGGTATGTCCACATAGGTATTATGGAACATGCTAAAAAGCGAATTGGAACATTAATGCCAGATTTTTCGGATGCTGCTGTTGTGATCAAGATTTTTCCATTTCCGATACTTTTCAAGGGTATCGGAAGTACAAGTCCACCTCCTCGTTTTAAATAGAACATCTTTTTTATCGAACCGAATTCTTATCATAAATTTAAAGGCTACCAGCCTTGACAAAAGGAAGTAAAAACCTATTTCATTTAGAAATTTTCAAATACACTCGAAAATTGTGGAAAAACACATTACATTAGTCATTTCGGGGGAAAATACTTATGGGTTTCTGATAAAATTTAAAGCTCGTTAT